CATTTAGCCTTTATTTGACATGGTGACCTCTGCTGTTCTAAAAAATTAACAAAGATCCCTTGAAAAAAAGTAACACAACTGATCAAACCTGCACTAACAAAGCTCTAAAAATTTCCAGTTTTTTTTCTTTTTTATTTCAAACTATAGAGGATCATATTGCTTTTTAAATTAGCTAATTTCATTGACTAGAAGCTGCTCTACTGCATCGAGTGTAAATTGCTTTGGCCTGAGTTCAGAAAAAGGTCAACAACAGATTTTAAGTTGAATTCTTTGCAGGAAAATTTTTTTGCAACTGAATTTTTTGCAGGCAAATTTGTTGCAGCAGATTTTTTTTGCAGGCAAATTTTGACCAGATAAAAATTCATTGTATAAAAAAATTCAGTGTTTAAAATTCGTTGTCCAAAAAAGGTAGATTCTAATGAGACTTTTTTTTTCCATACTAGCCAAGAAGAGATTCCCCCTTAACCCTTTAAAGCCCGATCCAAGAATAAAACAAAACAGAAAATTACTTACTTTTGGTTTGAAGTCCTTATTTGGCCTTTTAACAAAATGTGTAAAAAGAAAAAACAGAAATACATTTTTGATATTAATAATTTATTACTATGCGATAAGTTCTGCCCTCTGTTATCAGGTATATCTGATTGTGTACAATAGGATTTTGAGCAAAGTTTTTACCAATAAACTATGCAAAAGGTGTCAGACGCAAAACATTTCAGAAACCGTATGTATCAAATATGATACATTTGGCATTACAGGGTTAAGCTACATCCCTGCAAATCTAATCCCAGCTTGTAAATATTGAACAAATGATGTATACTTAAGATGTTTGGCTCTTGATCAATGATTATTCAGCAGTGCTCCACCCTGATAATTTAATCTCAAATCTTTAAATTTGGTTATTAAATGTTTTCAGGCAATTATTAAGGCCCAAATGAGAGGTTTATGATTTAAAAGAAAAGTATAACTTGTGTGACGTCTGCAACTGGCAGAAAGATTATCAGATAAGTTATTCCTCACACAATACAGAGGAGATGTTGCATCTCCAGCGGCAGTAACTGTCTGTGTGTGCCACTGACAGCATGGGAGCTACTGAATGAAAAACAAAAAAAGGAAAGCACATTGTATAGTTTTTGCGTGGGAGGCTGTTCTAGTGTGCATAAGTAGCCCAGGGCCAGCGGCTGCACAGATAATAGAGTGTTGTTTATTTTCAAATATTCAATGCCTGCAGGAAACACAGATAGCTAATGGAGTGCCTCGTCATCCTATGCTCTGTTGTGTTTGACATCTCTGCTCCCATCCATTGACTTTTCTCTGTTTATTTTAGATTGCTATTTTTAAGGCACCTTTCGTTGACCCTTTTTTCTTTTATCTCTTTTTGCTTTTCTTGGTGAATTCTGTAAGATCCCAAAAGTCAGTTTGAACATATGTACAGTAAAAGACGAGCCATCGGTTTTATTCATAGATTAGACAAGGAGTGTTGGAAGGAGATGTTAAAGTTGCTTTTCTGAATTCTGCCGAGTGGCGCCCAACTTTACACGAGTGAACAAAGTGAATGCGATTGGTCGTTTATCAAGGGATTGTGTGACGGAAGCAAATACAAAAACACTGGGACGGAACTCAATGTAAATTATTCTTATTTCTTATTTCAACTGTTGCGTATATTAGCTGCGACATATGAATAAAGATGCTATGACTGAAAAACCTTGATTGGCAGATGACCGTTGATATATGATTGGCAGAATTTAGGTGTAAAAGCTGAAGTATAACTAACTGGCCTGCATTAGATAAAGAAAAAAAAGCACAGATTTAAAAAATTTATTTATTCTAACTTTTGGGACAATATCGTCTGATAAAGAGTACATATATATATATATATATATATATATATATATATATATATATATATATATATATATTAGTGCTGTCAAAATTATCGCGTTATTAACGCGTTAACGCGAGGCCATTTTAACGGCGATAATTTTTTTAACGCGAGATTAACGCTATGTGGTTTTATGGTACAATTTTCCAAGTGCATCCCGCTGCAGCCTGCGGGAAGGCGGGGCTATTTTCCCCCAGTCTATGCATTTCTCATAGGCTTCCAGAGCGGAGCTCCTCAAGGAAAAAAGACGCTCATACACTGGGTGGCGCTAGTGCCTTTTCTTTAAGCCCCACCACCAACAAACAAGTTGAGTGTCTGGTAACTAGTAGCAACCTGAAATACGCTGAGAAAACAGATTACTGAGGTGAAATGGAATCTGCTACGGCACTCTTGTCGGTATCGTGTGTGTGTGTGTGTGTGTGTGTGTGTGGGTGGGTGTGTCTGTGTGTGGGTGAGTGGGTGAGTGGGTGTGTGTGTGTTCTCATTTTTGTTAAGAGGCTGAAAAGTAACTTTCTAGAGAGCATAGACTACCTTCATCTAGTGATGTTGGTCTATTGATTTTGATGTATTGATTGAAAATTGTTCATTATTACCTTGGTTAATTAACATCTAATGTTAATTCTACTAAATTTTATAGCAGTAGGGTAAAATGCTTGTCTTTGTTCAAAAGACTGTATTAACTGTAAAGACTGTCTTTTACATCAGCCTGTTTTCAGGGCCTTTTTTTTGGCTACATATTTGTTATTTTTTGCTACATGCCTCCCCATCTTCTTGCCATATGTTTCTATGGCATAAATCAGTATCTGTGACCTGTTTTCATTTTAAAAAAAGAACATTGGCACAAACCTAGCCTGTATGTATTTTTTTGTATGTCATCCAGAGTATTTAAATGATTTTCAATCAGGAAAAAAAATGTGCGATTAAAATGCGATTAATCGCGAGTTAACTCAGGCATTGATGCGATTAATCGCGATTAAAAAATGTAATCGATTGACAGCACTAATATATATATATATGTTTAAACCAGAATGATTTGACATTTTAATATGACTTCTCTAAGACTTTACGATACCTGGTAAATAATGATCAGAAACATTTGTCTTTGTTGCTAATGTAAAGTTAGAAAGAACTTTTCCTAGTTCGGTACAGTTAAGACAACCATATTTATTTTTATTAGGTAAAATTCCAGAATAATGACAGAATACAAGATAAAAAGTGATGATGTTACCTTCAAAAATGTAGATGTAAAGAAACTGATTTGATGTCATGGATTTTTTAAGTTTGTGGTTTGATTGGAGGTACATTCCTAAATGTTTAGAAATGGGGCTAAAACAATTGTTTGGATACATCAGGATTTATTGATTTCTTAAAAAAAATCAACCAATTTGGTTATCAATTGTTGCAGTAAATTGCATGTTGCAATTTACTGAAAGCAAACAAAAATCAGTCCAGATATTGAGCCAAAAATGTACTAATTATGTATAAATCTAGAAATTAATTTAAAATTTAATAAATATAAAAATATATTTTTATGTTAATATATTCTAACCAGAACTCCTAAAATGAGGTTTAGGAGAAGCATGGTGAACTTTGAGCTTTCAGTCTAATTTCTTCTGGCAAATAATCAAGATAAATAAACTAAAAAACAATTGTGAAAGAGTAGGCAAAAAGGAGACAAACCCCCAATGGAAAAAAATAACAAGTATGGCAGGTCCCAAAAAGCAAAAATAATAACAAACATAACAGACAGAAATAAGGCAAAACAAAATTCTTCGATAAACACCCAACAATGAAAAATGTCAAACAGAAAAGTTAAAGTTTTAAAAAAGCGGAGAAAGGTAATACTTAATCTCAAATTAAAAATAAGATAAAGAAAACATAAATAGGTAAATAAAAAAATATGACAAACCATGAGAGTATAACCGTCATCTTGTTCAAATTCTGTAAAAAAAAAATCCTACCAAGCAGTCGATTAGTTGAAAAATAATTACCAGATTGATCAATTAGCAAAGTAATCACTATTTAAAACTGTTATGCAGATCTAAAAACAATAAGAAAATTCACTGCTGAGGAAGAAGAGGTTGTTCTGTGTCCCAGAGATGAAGGTGTTCTATTGCAAAATGTCCCTGTCAATCCCAGAACAAATAAAAAAATAAACATGTAGATATGTTGTCTGAATCTGGGAAGAGACTAAACTAAACTTTGCAGAAAGTGCACTTACACGGGCCACTCAGAGATGAAGAAGCCGTCATCTCATCATGAACAAGCCATGTTAGAGTGAAACCATTCAGGATAAAAATGTCATTAACTCATATAACAAAGTGGACTGATAAAAAAATAGATAAAAATCCTATCTGAAAGGAAAAATGTTGCAGTTTCTAGGCAGCTTCCAGCTGGAAAAATACACGTATGATTTTAAACCTGGTGTAGATTAAATAAAATCATCACTAAATTCTATATTAAGCAACAAGAGAGCTGTTTGTAAAAGGCATGTTATACTATTGCCCCCATTCCACCGTTGACCTCTCGGTCATCAGCTCCCATCATCCTCTGGAGGTTTTAACTCTCTGGATGACTCTGAGGAGCGAATCCAAAACCGTAACTAAGTCCAAACGATCTCACCCAGCACAGTACATAGAGCACGACCTCATCTTACAAACATCTGCGTTTGGCAGTGCAAAGGCATGACATTATTTGAGAGTCACGCGATACACCAATGGTCCGGCCTTAACATGAGAAACTCAGATTGCCTATACAATCATCTGTTCTACAGCATTCATACAGTTTGTCTGCTGCCTTTACGCAGGGTTTTTTCTTGTAGTCCAACAGGTTCCTCCTCTGTTTCCTTCCTTTCTCTTGTTTCCTTTCAACTTGGTGCTCAAGTGAAAATCCCTCCCAATACAGCAGAGGTTCAGTCAGGAGTACAAAAGTCATCAAGTTTTTTTTCACTGTTGATTTTCTGCAGCGCAAACTCTTAACACTTTCCTAATACAGCTACAGTATCTCCAAAAACTTTGAGCATGACATCCAACAGAAGAAAGCAACTTTTATCCGAGGAAAGAAACAACATGATTTCTAAGATATTTTTGTCACAAGCAACTATACATCTAAAGGTACTTACTGTACACTTGAATCAGTCCACAACAGCAAATTCCTTTTGAACTGAAGCAACTGAATCAGATGTTTCCTTTGCATAAAACTGATCTGTTCTCTGTTGTAAAAACAATAGAATGTTTTCTGGAAGACACCCTCTTTTTAATATTATACTTTGGCAACTCCCTTTTTTGCTGTCATGCTCCCTAAAGACAAGGCGTCCTCTGTATGTCAGAGGCAGAGAATGAGAGGGAGGGAAGGGGGGATATTTTTAGGAGAGGCTAACGTAGGGAGATACAGCTGGCCGCAGTGTAGGGGTACGAAAACGAATAGTTCAGTGACTCAGCAGATTGTGCGCATGCTGAGGGATATCTGTACCACTACTGGGAGTTGTAAACATGTTTGTAGCTCACCTCCAGGACCACTCTGTTTGACGGTTGTTGCTTTGTACAGAAGATATGCTCCAGCCTGGCCGCAGAGAGTTGAAGATAAAGTCTTTATCCTGAAGCTTTAGGCTGGGAAAGTTATTCTTTTTTAATGTAAGGTGAAACATTATACTGAATGCCAAAGACAGAATGAACCAGGGGCATAATTTGAAGGTTGGTCGGGGTTAAAATCCTGATGTAGGAAAAATAACCCTCCAATAATATCACATAATTTTTCTTAAATTTTCAAATTTAGCTTGCATGAATAATTTGTAGATTTGTTTAATTGTCAATAACCATTATGTGAAATTGTCTGGTTGTTTTCCTCTCCCTACAAAAAACTTGGTATCCCTCCCCTTAACATTGCTCTCTACCGAGCCTTCACTATTTGCACTAATGTAGATTTAGTATGAACCTAGTAGGCCTCAATCTCATGAAAGACAGCATTTAGAAGTACGTGTATGTAAAAAAAAAAAGAGGATATATTAAGCCCAAAATAATACTGGATAATACATTTTCCATAGTATCGCTGTCTGCTCCACCTCACCTGACAATGAGTAAAATGAAAAATAATAATGAACAATGGTTGATTTCTTTTTTGAAGTCTTTTTTTGTGTATGGGCTATGTGTATAATGATTGTGTTGCTTGTGTAATTTCCTTGAAATTAGTTAGAAGATTGAAATGTAGATTCTTGCGAGGTGAAAACGCAATCTTCCCCTCCAATCAGTGATGGGTCTTCCTTTAAACAAAGATAGCTTCTTTCAACCCCTTTCAAAATCTCTGTCCTCTTGGTCCAGAATCTCACCACCTTGGTCGTCAAAGGTGTGTCCTTTGTTCTTGAGGTACAATTGTACAACAAAATCTTGCCCAGAGTTACTACAGTTCAAATTTGGGATTGTTGGCTGGGTTTGTTGTTGTGGTACTTTGTAAGCTCCAATGAGACTGGGCATACACTGTACGACATTTTCAATCGTACTCAGAAACTGTACGACGAAATCGCAGGGTTGAAAAGTTCACACAACAATGTATTTTCTTACACTACAAGGCCCGATGCTCTGATGCAATCTACCTGCTCAAACTGCACTTTCAAAAACCACAAATCAGACTCAGCACTGATGGTCCTGGTCGGACTCATCAATCTAGAAGAGGAAGAAAATCTCCCTTGTTTGCACACGCCCAGTGCATGAGGTTCTGGTAAGTCGGCTTGTAGACGCTTGTAACTCTGCTTCAACAGCAGGATCTTCCAACAAAAAACACCTTAAGAGGGCCGACTGAATTTCAAACATGTTTGATTTTCTCCCGACCTTATGATTCTTCAAATGGGGGTCGTAAGAGGCTAATCGTCCCTCATTACCCCTTATATACTACTCAACAGAGGATGCACAATGAGGCTGAAACTCTTCCCGATCCAAAAAAATCACCAAAAGAATTGGCCCACTAAAGGAAAGTAGAAGAACTTAGTAGAAAATGATCTATAAATACTTTGTATGTTTTCCTCTGCAACTGAGCGTATATGGTCATCCTGTTCTGATAGCAGAAAATCTAAGTTCCAGTTGGGGATATGAGCTAAAATGTAGGTATTGGTCTGTATGTTTCGGCAAATCTCTGTATTAAGACTGCTAGTGTTCTCAACTTTTCCAGTACAGTTCAGAAAAAGCATTGCAACATGGTGGTATGTTGGCCTAGTGGTTAGTGCATAGGGCTTGGAGTCCTGAGGTTGGGAGTTTGAAACCCACTCCCACAGACTGCCAATCTGAGACTCCAAGCAAGACCCTTTAACCCAGATTGGTCACTGGGCGCTGCCCACTGCTCCCCAAAGGGGATGGGTTAAATGCAGACAGTTAATTTCTCCACTGGGAGTTCAATGAATTTCAATTTATTATTTTTGCTATTCTTAGCATCCTCTCTAGTTACAATAACTTGATGGTCTGTCATCAAATTTACAATATTTTTAAATTGGTTATCCTGAGCTATCTCTATAGTTATGCTGCTATAGGCTTAGACTTTTGGAGGACATAGGGACCCCCATTTCATCATTCTGCTTCATTCTCTCTCTGTTCTCCTATTCTGCAGAATCTGTTAGTTCAATCTCTAACCTTCTGCTCTCTCTGCTTTTCCTCAGAGTAGCTTTGCCTCGTCTGTTCCTGCTTGGCTGTGACGTCATCCTGGAAAGAAACATCAGCTGTGCTGCTTCTATCAACACCCTTGTTTATAGATGTTGGAGATCGGCCTGTTTTCCAGTGTGGTCCTGTTTCTCTGACCGTGACTGAGTGGATGTGCTCTCTTCGTCCTCTGGCATGGGAGCTGCCTTGGAGCTCGTCTGCCTGGCTGCGTGTTTCCTGGACGGGGCCGCCTTTTACAGCTGCTTTTTGTATCTCTGCTTCTGTCTCCTTGAACCCCAGTCGGCCTCGGCAGATGGCCGCTCACACTGAGCCTGGTTCTGCTGGAGGTTTCTTCCTGTTAAAAGGGAGTTTTTCCTCTCCACTGTCGCTACAAGCATGCTTAGTGTGGGGGATTGTATTTGAGTCAATGAGTCAATGCAATCAACTGGTTTTCCTTAGATAGAAAACTTTGTATCAATTTGACTGTATGATCTGGTTGAACTGTAAAGTGCCTTGAGATGACATGTGTTGTGAATTTGGCGCTATATAAATAAACTGAATTGAATTGAATTGTAAATACAGCCTTCCAGACAAAATATACAGAAAGCAAAGTTTTCTGCTTAATTGGAATGTGGAGGTTATCAACTGTGCTTTAAAGAAACCTAAATTCACGTGTAAGGCCAGAGCTTTTTCTTTACACATTACCAGCATAAACAGCCCCACTGTGGGAAGAGTGGGTGGGAGGTCAGATGAGTATAGACTCTGTTTATCAGTAAATACTGCTCCATGCTGATAAGTAACAGACCTTTTCAGACCTAAAAAGGCCTCACTAATTTCCCAAAACTGAAATGGATATGGGTTTATGCAGAGATATACTGTCCCAATATGGAAGCAGACGTTTTGGAGGACTACAAAACAAAAACAAAACAGAAACAATATTATAGAGTGAAAGACAGGTGGCATGGCAGGATCATCTCGCTCCTGTTGTCCCAGAGCCTTTGCTGTTTCGGACTGGAGGTGAGGGGAATAGCCGATGGGTCTTTGACCCCTCAGTCAGGTATTGTCTATGTGGGTCTTTGCTCCCCTCTGGTCCTACCACTTTCTGGCTGTTGTAGTTAGCTGGTGATTGTCTGGCATGCTTGCTGCTCAGCAGCGAGTCTTTTAAGTTTACAAACTCATATAGACTTTTGATCATCTTCAGCATTTTAATCAGTCATAGAAAAGACCCTGGTTTTGCTGACTCTACAATATGTCTTCATTTCTTTTTTTAATTATAGTTAAAGAAAGATACTTGATATTAGAAAGATACTCAATGACAACAGTATGATAAACTAGCGCAGTATACTTGAATGTAGCCCATGAATTCCTCATGATGAAATAAACATTTAATTTAGTCCTTTACTTTTTATAGTGTCATACAAATACTTTTTGGTGTGAAATGGTGCTTTCGCTGCAAAAAAACTAGTAAAAACCTCTTAAAATAGATTTATTTGCCTTTAATTTGGGCATTAATAAGGTTATCCCTCATTGGAACGAGTAAGTTTGCAGCTAAAGTAAACAAACTAGATGTTATTGATTTAAGATAAGATAATGGAGCTATTTTTCTTTTCTAAATGTAACTATAAATGTTTTTATAATTTATAATGTTTTTATAATCGGCCTTGAGGACCGAGTTTGGGGATGCCTGTTCTAAACAAAAACAAGCATTTTTGTTTAGAAACTAAAAATTTACCCACACAAAATTGCTCTCTCAAGTTTTCTGAAAGACTTATTCGACACAGCTGGAATAAAGTAAATTTCTGTCTATTACAGTCTTAATAATATCCCTCAGTCCTGGCTTGTCCTAGCACATGTTAAGCTTTTTAAATATTAATATTTAAAAAAATATAGTTTTAAAATACATAATCTTAGACCCAATTGCATAATCTAGTTTTAAAGAGATATCAAAATGTTTTCATATCAAAAAAAAAAAAAAGGTATTGATATCGTTGTGGCATCTCTGATGTTTTATTGTACAGTCCAGAGGTTGGCAGTCTAGCTTTATTTATGCATAGAGAGCCTATACAGAGATTTGTTCTGACCATGCACATTTCTACCTTCACAGCATAGGCAAACCCTCATGTTTAAAACAATGGTCTCAAACTCCAGCCCTTAAAGGTCTGTGTCCTCCATCTTTTAAATGTGACTCTGCTTCACTACACCTGATCCAAATATCGGCTTCTTGGCTTGGAGATCTGCAAAGCTTCATTTAATGTCAGTAAAGCTATTTAGTGACTCAACAACAACTGAAGGCTGTTGTTCAAGAATTAAGGTCGAGACTAATGGTTGCATTTCAACTAGTAAAAAAATAACAGGATGAAAGCCACTTTGGCATGGTTTTTACTTCCGGAAACCAGCTTTACCCAAGCTTTACCTCTGGCATAAAAAAAAAGTCAAGGCAAGTTTGTTTATATGGCACATTAAGTACAAAGACAATTCAAAGTGCTTAACATGAATTAAAGTATTAAATGGATGGAAAATAAAAGCAAGAGAAGATAAAGACATGATAAAAGCAGGCAATACACGGCCTAGACAATAGCAGTACATTTTGTTCTAGCCCAAAGCATCTATTTTCAATTTGGATGGATCAGTACTGCCACAATTTGAATATTATTTTAGGGACACCATTTTCAGAGCTGCACCTTGTGATGTATCTTCAGATTCTCATCTCTATGGT